TTTCTGGTTCGGTAGCAGCCTATTGCTGCGATGAAATTGCAGAACGTAATTAGACATAATCCCACACCGAGGCCGGATAAAAGTTTACTAAGCATACCAAGTTACAAATAGGTTTTGTGATATTTCAGATACTTTTTCGTTGTCTCTATAATACGATGGCATCCAGATGAAGAGGTATAGGCCGATACCAAAGCAAAACTCCGGAAATTTATGGAACCTGAAAGCAGCATTCTGAACTGGAAAATCTCCTAATTTTTCTGATGGTTTTCAACTAACTTCTTGGTATTTTTCAGGGTGAGAAATAGTCGGTAATCGCCCAGAAAACTTCAGAGACTTTTCAGTCGAAATACTGCTCCGAGTTCCAACTGATTTCGGGAGTTTTTCTTGCAGATGCAGCGACTTCTCTCCATTTCTCCAACCAGTTTCAGCAAAATCCGCTTGTGTCCGGACCCTAGCGTCACTGACATTGGTGCACATATCGTACAATGATACTTGAATCTTCAGTCGCTTTCACATTCAAATGCTATAAACTACATGTGTCACATGACTGATTTTTCGAAATCAAAACCATAGTCTCCCAAATCAACGATTTTGGTTAGACCTAAGACAACTCTCGTGAACTGCACTGAACTGTTACGACAAATCAGCTCACGAGGGAACATTCCCAGGTGAAGGAGCGCTTTTCCGCCGGAGTTTCGCGCATCTTGTAGCCCATATTGAGCTATATCTATGGTAAAAAAATTTCGGGTTTCTGGCTTGTTTCTGAGGAGATATCAAGCTTCCTGTGAATTTTCTTTATAGAAAGCCCACATTGGCAGCAAAGCTATACTTTCGAATTTTGATCTGAAACTTTGCATGCATAAAAGCCTCATCTAGACTAGTTTGCATGAAAAATTTCAGAAGTTTTGAATAAAGCTCTCTAAGATATGAAACTATCAAGGTACAGTCCTTTTTTCATAAATAATATATACAGTATGCATTTTTTTCAAAGCTTCGTATCTTGAACAGACTTTGTCCAAAGCTTTTGAAATTTTTCATGCAAACTAGTCTAGATGAGGCCTTTATGCAGGCAATGTTTCAGAACAAAATTCGAAAGTATAGCTTTGCTGCCAATGTGGGCGTACTATAGAGAAAATTCACTGGAAGCTCGATATCTCCTCAGAAACAAGCCAGAAACCCGAACTTTTTTTATCATAGACATAGCTCACTATGGGCTACAAGATGCGTGAAACCTCGGCTGAAAAGCGCTCCTTCACCCGGGAATGTTCCCTTATCAGTTCAAAGGATCGATCGAATCTGAGTTGATAAAATCCCTCTAAATTTTCAAAAGCTATCCTAGGAAGGTGCCCATTAGGGGTGCATCGGTGACGATTAATCGTTCACCGTTCTATCGTAGTTACCGAAGAACGGTGAAACGATCAACCGGCGAAACGATCCCCGATGAAACGATCAACCGGTGAAACGATCCCCGGCTACACCGACCAACCGGTGAAACGATCCCCGGTTACACCGATCAACCGGTGAAACGATCCCTGGTTGGACCGATCAACCGGTGAAACGATCCCCGGCCAGAGCTGGGCAAGTCAAGTCAAAAATGCCTCAAGTCAAGCCAAGTCTGACTTGACTTGACTTGACTTGGTCGAAAAAATTTTGAGGCGTGACTTGACTTGATCGAAAAAATTTTGGGACGTGACTTGACTTGAAGGTTTTTTTAGTGACTTGACTTGACTTGTGACTTGAGAAGCCTCTGACTTGCCCAGNTTTAAATATGTTGGACGGCTCCGGACTGAGAAATCCTTGTCCCAAAATGACCTATTTTTGACCCTTATTTGGTGAATATCTCAGTCAAACGTTGTGGTATCGAGCTGAAAATTTTACCACAGCCTCCCCACATCAGCCCCAACATATGCTCCAAATTTCAGCTCATTTGAACGTACCTAGGCTGAGATCGATTTTTGAGGGGGGGGGGGCCTTAAGATTCTTGTTTACAAGGAATTAATATTGTTATTTGAGTTGATACTACTACAATTAATTATATGTTTATCTTTGGGTCAGATATAAGCATTCTCATTGACGACTGATGATCAATAATCAGATTATGTTAAAACAAACGTATTCTTCTTCTAAAGAATGTTTCATCATAGACTCGAATCATATTGATCGTTGACAGTCTTAAAATCAAGTTCACCTTATACAATCGTTTTGTTTTTTGAAAAATGATTATTTCATCATATCATTCCAGAGTATTCTAGAATATAAAGGATTTTATCATGTTTTTTTAACTAACCAGAATGAATATTTTCTGTCTCGACCATTAGCATAATTATCACCTAGATAGGACACTAATGACTTCGAAATGATTCGAATTAATAAATATGGGGTGAGTTTATACAAATTTTCAAAAGCTTATTTCTGAAAACCATCCAAATCATTGCAGAAAGTCTGTAGGAATACGGTAGGATGTGGTTGTCGGTGAAAAGATATTCACATTGGCCACCGTCACACCTTCATTCACAGTCGAGTTTTAGAGCAATAAACATTTTAACCAATAAATTCTCTTGAGAGTGCCACTGTACAAATATGTGTAATTGTCACATGTAAACGTCCATTTTTCGCACTATGTCATTGCAGTCAAGAACATGCATGTATTAATCATTTGAAAGAACACTCAGATCTACTCAATTCAAAATTAATATAACTCATAGACGAAATCTTTACTCTTGTGCACCAAGTCAAAAGTCAATCTTTGAATAAACCAGCTGGCCTCAAACATATGGCAAAGATACAAAAGTAGAACTCGATCTATTGAAACTTAAAATTGATGAATTAAGTCACGAACAAGACGTTATTCAAAAATCAAATTGATTCTATTACAAAAGATATTCATTTGATGAAATAAACTCTTCATGAATTTCTAAATATTGATCTCACTATTCGTCCTTTTACAATCGATTATAATCTTATTCTAGCCAAATTGCATGCATTTTATCCGCTTGGAACTAGATCTCGAACAAGATGTTGTACATCTAAGACTTTTACAATGGACAGCATGTTCTAACTGAAAATCAATCGAACCTATGTTTATTCAACGATAGCTTAGCAGTTACCAAAAATACACTATAGACATTTGGTGATATATGATTAATATGCTGGTCATCAACACTGACTCCATTGATCGTTCTTACTCATAAAATTTTGTTTATTCTTGATGAAAAAACAATGACATGCACACGATATAAAGTTTCTTTGGATAAGAATAGGTATCTGAGAACATGTTATAATACAACATTATACTTGTTGACCTAACAATCGGGAAAAGAATGAAATATTATTGAAGACTCTTTGCCATATATTCCATACGTGACACAATGACAAGGATTTCTGGCATATAACAAAAACGAATGGATTGAGAATTTTGAGTTCAAAAACAATTCTCTGGCTTTGATCATCATTCATGATAAAAAGAAGTACTAACGTGTCAAACTTCTTATAAATGAAAGTTGGATGAAATTTTCAGAATATATTGAGACTATAATGGAGAAGCTATAGTAAAATTTTCACTCCGATACAATAATGTTTGAGGGAAATATTCATCAAATAAAGGTCAAGACTAGCTGATTTGATATAGTCAAAATTCTTTCTGAACCTTCATTCTATATAATATGTTTTTTTGAAAGAATACAAAAAACTCGAAAAAAAACAACAGAAAAAATCTAGTATTTTCTCAAAGTTTCTTGGAGATTTTTGAGTTATTGAACTTGTCAGTCGTTTTATCCGTTTAAAAATTAAGAATATAAAAAGGACTATCATGTTCTGAATTCTGAGATAACCTTTCGAGTTGCCAAATCAACTACTCTTGAGCCTTATTTGGTGCCTATCTCCCTCAAACATCACGGTATTGGGCTGAAAGTTTCATACAACTGTTATATGTATAGATCAAAACCACTGTGAAAAAGGGTAAAAGTGGTTTTAAATGTCCCAGTACTTTTTGATTTGATTTATCTATAATCAAGAACGTATTTTAGAACAACAACAACAATATGATTGACAGCTAAAAGAATGCTGCTGTCTTTGATAATAATATACTTCTGATAAAGACTGCGGATCGTATCAATTTTCATGAAATTTAAAAACTTCAATTAATCGTTTTTTAGTACTTAGTCTAGAAATGACATTAAATTTGATTCAATGAGATCTATCATTTCATATACGTATATTATCACACATTGTCTTGCGTACTGAATAATTCTCGCGAACAGGAAAAGTATAAATATCTCAAACATTCCCATGTATCGATCGAAATTCAAAAAGTGGCTCATAATAATTCAGCTAAGTAATACAAATGACAGAATTACATAGTGTGTTTGTGGGTGTGATTATCAGCGAAAGAACAGAGACCAACAGTCACATCCACATATTCTACATCGTAGATTTGTGAAGCAAATTCTATATCAGAGAGCATGATAGCTATCAATGAGCGTTTGATCAACTTGAAACTCTTCATTACATAATTTCCAGTCTCCTTCTGATCTCTTATCTTCCACGGATTAGAAAAAAAATAGGCGTATTTATGCTGGAAAGAGAATGAATTGTAGAGAATGGGTATCATTGATAATTGTCTTTTCAACTATACTATAGTAAACAAAGAAGAAGAGCACCAATCTTGCAAAGTCGAAGAGATTCGAGGAAGGGATCGTCCATAGAACATCTCCATAGAAACGACAGAACACAAGAAACAATTAACACGGTGATCCTACACATGACGAACGAAATAGATGACATCGATCACTGTTTGTACCCTTTATCGGAGGCTGCATTCTAGTCGAATGAAGTCCAAGTATAACATGCCAAAGATGTTCAAAACTTCCTCCAAACCATTTCACACCACGTTTACCAGGGCTTTCGCGATCGAGTTCTGTGGTACAATATGGTTCATGACTAACATGATACAATTTGGACCATTGTTCATATGTATAGTGATGAATACGTTGCTTTGTTACTTAAAATTGAGCACAACAATATGTTGAAATGATACTATTTTCTTTTGGATTAATTTTGGTAGGATTCAATTGAAGTTCAGCATCATAACCGAATAATTGTAATATCCGACTTGCACACTGGTACATCAATGATACATTAGTAGTTGAATCTCGGCGCCACATGGACCAGGAACGATCTTTTATCCATTGTGAAATAACACTGGTGTAATGAACGTCGTCACGTATACATAAGGCTGCTTCAATTGGATGAGTCGAATGAGCAAATGGATTTCCATGAATAAATAGAATTTTCTCTGGTAAATCATAGTAGTAATCGTAAATAAATTGTAAATAAACACCAGCTTCTTCATGAACATTTCGACAAAAAGACCAATTATATGGAGGTCTAGATTTAGGATCGATGCGTTGATAGAGATGAACATGATACGGCATTGAACTATGTCCAGTCATATTGAGTCCTACACGAAGCCAAAGTGGCCAACTCGATCGATTACTCCAATGAATTTCTTTCCATATGGCTGGTACTATAACAAGCTTATTGATTGGCCATTTGCTATGAGACACGTTGTTGGCGGCAGGCTTTGTAGTCGCTGTAGTTAATATCAATGCTGGACCAGAAAATATGTTGTTGTGACTTGAAATTTTGACTATCAACGCAAGTCCCATGGTGCCAAGTAGAATCAATCCAATGATGATTTGACCGATATAACTAAGAAAATATTGATAAGTTGTCATAGGAAACAGAAATTAGTAAATTAGTTCCTATATTAAGGATGTGGGTGAGTGGGTGGATGTCAGTTTCGTTGAGAAGGCTACCCTTACACCTATCCACTCACCCTTACACCAAGACTAACACCAAGACAATAGATCTGCCTTTATTCGACGAAACTGGTTCGACAAAAATTTACTGTCACTTACAAGGAAACATTCCCAGATGTCGGAGCACTTTTTAGTTGGGGATTAGTGCATCTTCTAGAACTTAGTGAACTATGTCCAACTCAGAAAAAGTTCGTGCTTGTCGCCTGTTTCTGAGGAGTCCGAATGTTTTTTGCTGTTACAGCTATGATAGACATCTTATCAGAAAAATGACTATCTCAGCCAGTGTTAGTTGAAAGGAGGTGAAATTTTTCTCACATATGGTTGTTTTTATGTTGAAGAGATACTGAAAGTATAAGCTCAAACGATTTTGAAACGAGAGAGTTATCGGATTTATGAAATATTACCGTTATTCTAAATTCTATTAATTATGCTACTTCTCAGATTTTCAATGTATATAGGTTGAAAATTTTATAATATTGAGTACTTCATCATAATATTACTTCAGGTGCTTCATGATTGTAGTTTGTAAGGATTATATATTTATGCTTTATTCTATTCTTATGTCTACAACTGTGCTTATATCAGAAGTTAAATATTCTGATTTCTTTCGTGTATGAATGAGAATAACTGATCCAAACTAGCATCGATGAACGAAATGAAATTATACTACGTATGTAACATGAAGAAGGAAGAAAAAACATATAAACTAGAGTGACAAGCTGCAATCAGGAAACATCTACAGTAATAGTAATTCTAAGAAGTAACATAATTAATAGCATTTAGAACAACGTTAATATTTGATAAAACCGATAACTCTGTCTTTTCAAGACCGTTTAAGCTCATACTTTCTGTATATCTTCAACATAAAAACAACTGTATGTGGGAATTTTTTTTTGATAAGATGCCTATTATAGCTGTAATAGTAAAAATGTTCGATCCCCTCAGGAACAGGCCATAAGCACGAACTTTTTCTGTGGTAGATATAGTTTACTAAGGTCTACAAGATACAATAACTCCTGACTGAAAAGTACTTCAGCACCTGAGAATATTACCTTGTAAGAGTTTCAAACCAAAAAATAACAATATTCACTATATATTGAATCTTGCTAGAGGAGTTTCCATGTTTGTCGAGTGGTGTTATAATCCCGTTACACTAAGCGCAATGACCTTTCAACTATAGCTATATCTTATAAAGTTGAGGAATTTGAGTGAATTTGGGGTAACGAGGACGTTACCCCAAATTCACTCAAATTCCTCAATTTTAAAAACATGTAGTTTATTTATGGAGTAAGGAAGTCATTACCCCTAGCCGTAAGTTTCATCGTGTAAATGAATTCACTTTTAGTTGATTACTCTGTAGGGTATTCTGACATTTACTTCTCGATACCCAGTGTAATGGTATTATGACATCTATGTACACATCCATCTCGATGTGAAATACTTGAATATTTGAATAGTTGAATACTTGAAATGTAGTTTCAAGTTTGACATTACTGTTCTTTAGCTAAAAATGTTTTTCAAAAAAAATGCTAGGTGACATACTATGAGGTGCAAAATTTAATTTTCTAGAAAATATCCTATTCATTTTTCACTTTCGTTGGTTAGGGCAACCTGTACAGTTACTAAGCTCTCATTTTGATGTAACAATCTGAATCTTGCTTAGAACGACTAGATATACAGAAACAATCAATGTTTATGCAAATCAAATATTTCTAAGCACGCTAAGTACCTAAATATTGGTCAATAAAAAACTGTGTAACAGCATTACACGATGATAAAATGTTCCTAAAAGCTCGGGATCTTAGTCGAAAAAGGTCATTCATATAGCATAAATAGAGTGTGATAAGCTACATCAAATAGCATTTCAACGAACTTTCTAGCTCTCAAACCTTCTGTGATAATCGAAAAAGGTGTGGCCAAAATGCAAGCAGTATTATGTTTGAACAAATTGACATATACCGTTCAGTTGGTATGAATAACCCAGGAAAGTTTTTGAGATCGAAATGGTTCTTTTTCGAAAACCATTCTAAGCAAACTTCAGAAGAACCGAAACAAAAGATAAATAATACGCATTCACAAATCTCAACACACTCACATGCAAGAAAAAATTCAAAAATCATAAAATCAAAAAGCGATCACAAAAAAGTTTAATAAGTGGAACGTTTTTCTGCAAAATCAAAAGATTTGGCAATCCTATGTAGTTTTCATGTAATAATGAATTATAGTTCAATTTCAGTCAAATTTTCAAAAAAACTTAAATCTAGAAAAGATCTCAAATGTCAGAAAAAAGTTTAAAATTTGGAATTTTTTCTCTTATATCGGAAGATCTGACATACTTGAATCGCGCAGAAAATGAAGTACGAAATGCATTCTCTATCACAAATAAACATTATTGTTAAATTGAGGTGAAGTATGTAATATGATCTATGCTCTAGTAGGATCAGCATATATTGAAAGAAGTTTACAGCAAAACGTTGCCTCCAACTTTACTGTGATAATAAATGTTTCTGTCTACAACACACGCGATCGAAGATTGTACCACGTTGCAGAATTTAAATTTGAGAAGAAACAGAAGACTTCATAGTGATGTATGGATTATGCTGGGGAATGGGACGATCATGATCACAAAACGTGTGTTGAGACTTAGTAGAGATTATATTGGCTCATTTTTTGAGCATTTTCTGCTGAGAAAAGTCGAAATATATTTCAGAAGGTAGGGTTGATCGTCCTGATGGGTCCTCTAAAGTAACCACTGACTTTTACAAGTGCTTTTTACTGTAAGTTCTGCGAAACACTTTTTGGTGATTCCCATGGAAAGTGTTATAAAGTGCTTGAAAACAAGAAAAATCACAGTACTTTTAAGCGATATCGACAGGAGTTGCTTTACACTATTTGAAAAATCATTTTCTAAGCTTCATTAAGCGATTTCTTTTAAGCGAAGCGTTTTACAAGAGTCTTGTAAAGATACTTGCAAAACAATATTCCTATGGCTATTTTTAGTAAAATTCGATTAATAGTTTTCGTTTTATATTCATAAATAACTTAACTTTATCTATTCATAATATAATTTCGATTTTAATGTTAAGAATTGCAAAGATTTTATTTAAAATATACCAAATAGGTCTCCAAAGAACATTAGATCGAAAAATTACAAATATACATCTTCATAAAACTAATGATGTAACTTCTTTTAGTAAAATATATACAAGACTCTACTTTAGCGTAAGTTTCATATGTTTTTAGGTGTACTCTTTCTAATAGAACTCAAAAGAGAATATGTGGATATAACTGAGATATTACAGTGGTCAATTTTCTTGAAAAATGCGTTGGAACTATCGATCGTTCTCGTGATACACCTCGAGCGTCGTAGTAAAAACACGTCATAGCACTTCGCTCGTATTAAAATTATAGAAAAAAAACATATTCCTTCAATGAAGTAATAAATCTGAGTTTGAAATAATTTTTCACTCAAGATAACAAAATAAGAATTGTGATGAACCTTAATCAAAGATTCTCAGAATCAGAACTCGGACGAAAGTATTTGTACTTGTATTTTTCGTACTTTTTCAAGTAAAAGTATAAGTACAAAATACTTTTGTTTGTTGTACTAGCTCTGCTCAAAACGCAAATAGAGATGAATAAAGAAAAACCTTTGTTCGGATAATTTTACAGTATGTCAAAAAACGTACTCCATGAACAACGGATAGGACATTTTATGGGTTACAAAATGGCCTATTCAATCAATAGAGCGGCACAAAATCATTTATATGAAAATGAGTGCTTTGAAAGTGGGCCACTTTTGAGCATTGTAGTGTTCATCGGGTATGATTCCACAGTTATTCGTTGAGAGATCTTTTTTCATAAGGCTTTGTAGACAATTGCACGATCTATCTCTTGAGAAAAAAACTCAAGTATATACGTCATAATTTAAGAGAGATATTCTCAAAATACTGAGAGACTCATTTATTCTGACGCACAAATGAGATGAAATAATAGAACTACCTGAACACAATATGAGAAAAGTTTCTTTTGTTGAAAACTTCTGATATGGATGAGAAAAAAAAACCATGAGTTTTTTAATCTATTTTCCAAGAAAAACTACGATGGATACAATTATTTAGAAGTTAAAGTTCTTGACTAGATTCTTTTCGAACGAGAATGAGAATTATTTGTTTTTTGTTGTTGTTGTATAGATAAGGATAAAAAGATTATTTTTATTCATTCATACAGTGTAGAAGCGTTTATACTTTGCGTGAGTTACACTTAACTATTAATTGGAGAATCTAAAGGATTATCTAATTACATAAAATAATATCATAAGAATTTTATTTTTTTTTGTGAAACAAAGTCTAACAGGATTATCGAAATGTAGGAGTAGAAATTTGGTTCGTCCACCCGCAGACATGACAGGCAAATCAAAGACTGCTGTGATATTAGTATGATAATTGTCGTCTATTTTTCTTTTACATTCACTACAATGCTTGATGATTCATATCTTTCATGATCGACATGCCATTCACAGTAGGTAAGAATTCATACACAAAAACATATATTGATTAATTCCCTCTGTTTTTACAACACGAACAGCTCCATCGTGTTTTACATTTTAATTCCACAGAGATTTCGCTAACAGCTTTTCTTTTCAAACACATCAAAAATGCTATCGTGAGTTGCTTCTATTGCCGTTCACATTATATTTATATTTATATATGTTTATAAGTAAGATCGTAAGGAAATCTTGAGAGACATGATCATTTATTTTCTGCAAAAAGACCAATCTATTAATCAACATATCAGTCGTTTTTTTTAGAAAACAAAAAAGCGAAAAACATAATAATATGAATAACAATCATAATTTGAAAATCGGATTCATTTCGAAAATAAATACACTTTCGACTTAACTATTTTGTTACATAGTTTAATTAGAAAAATCAGTAAGTATATACTACTTTATCGTTCAATACTTTTTTTTTTTTTTTTTACAAGATTTACGATTATAGCTAGAAGATGATATAGGTCTTTTCTCTTTCGTTCTTATTATTGTCAATAATCAATAATTTTCTTCCTCATATAGATCACGAAATGTTAAGTTAACATTATTTATATATAATGGGTTCAGATAAGTTTTTTTTTTTTTTTCTTATGTAAATAGTTTTGACTTTAAAAAGATACACTCAAGATTTTAATAATTGGAAAATATTCGATCCAAATATTGAAGATTAATAAGAAAGATAAGTCGTTAGTTTTTATGACATAGGATACAGTCATTCTATAGTTTTCTCTTATGTAAAATCATCAAATATTATCAGATTGATTTAATTAATTATATTGTGATATACATTTTTAATATAAAAAGACAAAAAAAAAAAATAAGATTTTTAAAAATTATTTACAAAGACATTCATATGTCACTCAATGAATCGATTTCCGTTTTAGTAATTAATATTTTTCCTGTCATGCAATATTCAACATCATCCATATATACCTATATATATGTAACTAAATGACAATTCAAATATGTTTATTCATTTTCTTCTTATAATAGTAGCATTAGCCACTTGAGATAATCATTCAGAAACCACTATCATCAAAAATAGCAAATGAAGTGGTTTTTGATAATAATGTGCATGTGAATAGTAGCAGAATAAAAAAGAAGAAGGAAAGAAAAAGCATGAGCGTACGACGCAAAATCAAATTCTTCATCACTTTTTCTTTTTCTCTTTCGCCCTCCTTATCTTTTCACCCCAATGCGTTTTGTCGGTCATGAGTAAAACACAATGATCGAGTTGCTTTTGCCGTATTAGTTTTTCTTCGTTCCCTCACATCTGAAAAAAATGCTATTCTTCTTCTTGTTTTCTTCTCGCTTTTTTTCTCTCTGTATCCCAGCTTTCTTTTTCTTTCTCTCTCTTGACAGCAAGTCAAACTTACTGGGATATGTGTTCACTTGCTTCATCTTACAACGACGTAGACACTCGTGTATATTAAAGAGCCAGGATGAACTTCAATTTAAAGGCAGCCGGTACTTTACTATCACGGGCTAAACAGGTATTTTATAAGAAAATGAATAGATCAATTATCTAAACAAGTCACTATTTAGTTTACCGAAGAAAAACTTGGCCAAGCAACTGATAGAACAGCTTATGATGAAAATTTTGATCATTTATTATTAGAAGCTGATCGAGCAAAAGCATGGACCGAAAAATTAATATCTAATGTTGAAATTTTTCTTCAACCAAATCCAAGTAGGATAAAACATATCTTAATAAATAAAATATAATTCCTAAGAGAGAATATTCTCTAGATGAACGTCTCGAAGATTTCATACTAACTAAACTCGACCAAAAAACAACACATAAACCAAATATAATCGAACAATTAGGTCAATGCATGATGGAAGCAGGAAATGAATTTGGCCAAACAACACAATATGGTAAAATCAATCAAATTATATTTTCTTGTTGAATTATTTATTTTTTTTTTGTTTAGGTTCGACATTAATTAAATGTGGTCAAACTCATCAAAAATTAGGTCATAATTATAAAGATTTTATTCAATCAGCAGCTATGGGTTATATACAACCATTAAAAAGTTTTCTGGAAGGTGAAATGAAATCGATAACAGTAAATATTTATTTTTCAAACTATTTCACAAGTATTTTGTATTGCTTTATTTTTTTAAATCAAATTATAATTTAAGAAAGAACGTCGAATATTAGAAATGAAACGTCTTGATCTTGATGCTGCACGATCAAAACAGAAAAAAAATAAAATGCTCAATCGTGATAGCACTACACCCGTAGCAATGGCTGATGTTAGTATTCTTTATTTCTTTTATTCTATTCTCAGATTTCGCATAAGCTAAATCCGTTGACTATTGAATATTTGCAAATGAAAATTATACAAGAAAGAAAGAAAGAAAGAATCCTTTCAGTACTTTTGTTTTTGTCTTATCTGATAAACCAATATCTTTTCATTTGAATAGATTTTTCTATGAATATCTTTAGAGTTTGGATGCCGATGTTCGTCACGCACAAACTGAATTTGAACGTCAATATCATATAACACGCTTAATACTTGATGGTTTACAAAATGCTCAAGTATATATTTTATTTATTATAAAAACAAAAAACAAATGTTTTTTATTCTTAGAATCATCATGTAAGTTGTTTATTTGATTTGATTGAATCTGAATTACAATACCATCAAAAATCAGTACAAATTCTTGAAGATTTACATAAAAAAATGGGGTAATAATTTAGTTTGCATGAATTTTCTAATTAAAAAATAATGATTTCATTATTCAGCTTGTCAAAACCAATACCAAATGCTTCATCATCATTATCATCATCATCTCGTTTACGCACTGCAATTGTCAAATTTGATTATGATGCATCTGATACTAACGAGCTTAGTGTTCTAGCTAAAGAAGTATAAAATAATCATTAAAATTCAATTTTAAAAATATTTCATTTTGTTTTTTCTTATATTTTAGACAGTAAATATAATATTAGATGTTGATGAATCAGACTGGATAACAGTCGAAAAACAAATATCAAAAGAACGAGGACGAGTACCACGAGCTTATTTACAAATTGATTCATTATCTTCTTGATTATATATTTATTTTTTTTTGGTTTTCTTTTTTTTGTGCGTTTTTCGTCTTCCAATATGTGGACCATATCTCAATGTTGATTGTCGCTTTGTGATATATTTTGATGATTAACGCACATGCATTATGCAAACAAAATATTACTTATTTGATGCATTTTAAGTTTTCCGAAATATTTTCATTTGATGTATTTTTTAAAATAGAAAAAAAAATAAAATAAACAAGAATTTTATTTATAAATTTCTTTTGCTATGTTAATTCTGAAACCCATAAGGGAAGTCTTTCAACTGATTAATCTCTTCTGAGTTGAAACTATGTGCATCATATAGATTGAAATTAATTTTGAATATTGTAAATATGTTCTTAGTTTTTTTTTGTCTGGGGAGTAGTCATGGTTGATTGTCTATTTTGTTTGGCATGTATTCAATAGATAATATATTCAAACCTCAGTACCATAAATCATCGAATGACCTTAGACAAATTTCGGATCATCTATCCGATAGTATGTCCTTGTGGTTAGTCAGTGTGTATGAGAAGCTCAAGTCATTGAGCGCAAGAACTCGGTACTAGAACGACTTTCTGTCAAGAACTACAGCTAGTATTATCTGTAGAAAAGATTAGATTCGATCTCATTTGAAGAGATATTCAATACTCATTTGGCTCTATATGATGCAATATAGTCTTGACTCAAAAGCAATTAGTCATTAATGGAACGTCAGAGATTCACGCAAACACATACATAAGATGCTATTGAAGCATCTGAAAACATTTTCAGTAGTTGAATTTAACTTTTAGGTAAACGAAAGAAAAAAGTGTACGTGTTGACCCACTAGTGAATCGAACTGTAATTGATTTGTAGATAATTTACAAAAAATAATATTATCGAAAATAGAAGATATTGACAACAAATAATCCGTTATAGATTCTAGGTGATGAGTATAAACAAGGCAAGTTAATAATATAAAAAAAAAATGCACTTTTAATATAAAAGATTATTTTTATAATTTGCTTCATTCTTTTTTTCTTCTTTAGTGCAAATCTCAGATTTATATGATAATTATAAAATTGTTTTGTTTTTGATAATTAGAATAAATATTCTTAACATCATCTTGTTGAATTGCATCTGAAGTTGTATAGTATTCAACGTACTTTCATTGTTGTTATTTTCTTTTTTGGATACTTTCTTAAAAGCTATAAGTAAATATAAGACAACAAAGAAAGAAAATAGTCTTGTTGACATATATTAGAAGCTACATTTAAATGTCAAGAATGAGATAAAGATTTAAAAAGACAAGTATCTTGCCGATGGAAAAGTCATTCTTGTCTCATTAGTCACGGTTTGGTCTGTGTGAGTTTTAGTAAAAAAGTTAAGATCTTTTTTGTTTTTGTCAAACATTATATTGTGAAGTATATGAAAAAAAAATAATGTAGACTAACTGTCAAGAAAAATAAGAAGCTGAAGAATATAACAGCAAGAATATCGTTTAATATGATTAAATATTTACAAAATAATCGTACGAACATAGAAAGTCAATAAAATCTATCATTAAAAGACTAATTATAGTATTACGTATTATATAAAAAATAACGAAACATTGATTTTTTGAAATATTTACAAAAGTGGTTACAACAATTTATTGATATTGTAAATTTTTACAAAATAGTAAATATTTGATTTTATGAGTTGTATTTAATGTGTATATTAATATTTTTAGAAAAAAATAATAAACAAGTCTACTGAAACAACTCTTAATATAATCAATTTATATCAAAGTTGAAACTCTTAGAGTTGAAGAATGACTTTTGAAACTTTACTTAGGTTTAATACTTCATACAAAATCTCTAAAAAAAAAGGGTTGTTCTTTAATTGCAGCTGAGCTCTAATGTTATTGAATAAAATTTTGTCAAATTTCTTTCTTTACAGAGTAATCTATAGCTTCTAATAACTCACATCCATCAAATAATCATATGCTCTTTTTTTGATGTTGTTTCAATTGTTCGTTGTAACTCAAGGCTGTACTTTCAAAAGATTCTTTTTCTTTGATTACAAAATTCTCAAGTATATCCCACAGCGACTCATTTTCGTCAATGACAATAACACTTACTCTTGATAGATAAAAACATTTGCTTATGCTATGTAAATACCAATCATAATCCTTGAGCAAAAAAAAAAAACGACGCCTCAATACGATAAATTAGAAAATATTTATCCATTAGCATTAAGCCAAATTGTCACAAATAATTTAAGAGATATTAAAATTTTTCAAACATAAACTTTTGATGTTCAACTATATGCCATTGTAAAATAAGACCATGTAAAAATATTAAAAAATTTGAACTGTATCTTTAACTTAAGGGGGATATTCCTGTTAAATAAGAAATATATGTTCGAGAAAAAGTTTTACAACGAATTTTTATGATTTTTACGAGAAAATGCTGGTTTCTCATCATAGAACCGCATCCTGATACATTACTAAGAGTCTGTTCATTGACATTGCTTCTAACAATGAATAATTCGTTTCATTTTTATGTGCATTCATGTGAAACATCCTTCAATATATATTAAACAGATTTTTTTTTTACAGTTTTTCATCAATAAATAGATTGAACAATTACAGAATTTCATGAAAAAAAAATTATGAATTTATAATATGTTCTATTGCTTGTATTTTTCGTTTTGTATTTTGATATTTTCGAGTTATTTTTGCATTGGCTCGATCAAAAGGTACTCTTGCTTGATTTTTAACATATTTAGCAGCTTGTTTTCCTCGTACAATTTTCTTCCTTCCTTCTTTGATTTTTCTATTCGTTTTGGTTCTTACAGCATTACGTATTTCATGTTGTGCTTCACAACAATAACTTATTAATACTAACATTATCAGAAAATAAATAAATATACGCGATGACAACATTATTCAGTTTGTTTCTTGATGATAATCTAAATATGACATATACAAACAAACAAATGATGATTGTGAATATATTCAAGTATAAGAAAAATTTTTTTGGATTATAACACTAACCTTATTTCGAAGGATAAAGGAAAAAAACAAATATTATTTACCTTTTGTTAGTAAAAATATGAATCGTTTTGAAAATTGATTCTTGTATTCTACACAAAATGATAAGCAAAATGAATCAATTAAACAAATTTATTCTTCTTCGTTTATTTCATTCGAATGAAAAGATAAAAATAAAGGGCAAAAATATTCACTTTCAATTTTTGTTTATAATCTATAGAAGTTAAGTGTAATTGTTGTAATCTTTTACGAAATATATATTTCTAATTGAATATTGATGTATATGATTTCAGTATTTTAGAAGTGATCGAGTCCATTAAAAACAAAATACCTTTCTTCTTTGTTTTCATGACGAGAATTCAAAATGTGATTAATTAATTTTTGCTGTAGAGATTCTACATGTTTACAATATTTTTTAAGTTAATGTTTTGCTGCATAATTTTAAATTCGATTATATGGAATCTAAATTGAGATAAATAACGATTGTAAATTAATATAAAAATTTGTCTTTTTTTTGTATTACTGGATATAATTAATAAACAGAGTAATTAGTATGATATATTTTAGAAACAATATACTTAGAACATATCAAAAATTAGTGAGAATGACACTTTAATACCGTATAGTAAATTTAACGAATCTTTCTTTCTATGCTATTTGATCATACTTCAATTAATATCATAATAATAAAATTTTGATAAGATCTATTTTGTTCGCATGTGTCACGATTGCATGAAGGCTAGTGAATATTTTATTTTTTTTTGAATAAGTTTTGATAGAAACAAAATAGAGAAGTGCAGTTTTCATCGTTGAAAAGAGAAAATGAACATGTATCGAATCACATATTGTAAGTTCTTCTAATATTGATTTCTGAAGTATCTTTATTCAATTTTCTAACAGTTGGAAAAATGCCTTTTTTTTATGATAAAAAGAAAAACACACAAAAGTGAGGTTTTTTCATAGATTTTGCTAGAAAATCATATTTAAGACTCGACTAGAATGCATATTATTCATCTCAGCCTTCCGTACTTCGTAGATCTTCGATAAATGGTTTGAATTTATACTTGATAATTTAGTATAAACAACTTACCATATAAGTTTGTTCTTAAAAAGATCAATTGACAACTTTACAAAAAAGACGAATCAGAAAACTTGTCATCTTCGATTTTCAACGGTGAAAATCGCACTTCTGTATCAATAGTTATTCAAAAACTATTCACTCGTATTCTTTAAAATGAGTATTAATACAACCAGCACGTATGATAACGAAACAGATCTTATCAAAATTTTATTATTATCATATTAGTTGAAGTTTGATCAAATAGCATAGAAAGAAAGTTTCTTTAAGTTTACTATATACTCTCACTATTTTTGATATATCCTAAGTAAATTAAAACGAAATGACAATCAAATATTCACTTGTTTCAATTCTTAGATTTTATTAGCCTGTAGCATTAAAAAAAAAAGTCTGTAAAATGAATATTTTTCTATGGAATTATTAGAAGAATTTTAGAACATATCATTTAATTCAAAGTTTTGTCATTCAAAATAGCAATCACGAAGATATTTATCTTTTTAAGATTCATGAGTTTTGAAGAATTTTTTTTATAAATTCGTGTTGATAGTTATAAATCAAAAACAAAAACTTGTCAGCACAGTTCTAAGAGCGGTCAAAATGTTGAACTCGATGAATAAAGCAAAATTATAGGAATTTTTTTCTATTTGATATTTGCATTCCGAAATTTTATTATGCCGAAAATATTTACATTTCGAATTATTATTCTACCAATTTATTTGACTCATGTAACATTCTTATATTGAAAAAACTTATTTAGACTAATCAAAATCTATAATAGAAATCTTCAATTCATAGAATGCTTGCAAAAAATCTAGAATAATCTAAGCATTGTTATTATTGATGTACCTTTTCTCGTTGCTAGGCAAACATATACATTAATCTTTGGCTTCTTGTTCTCCTCCTCC